TGTACATTTCAACGGTTACCAATTGTTATGTCATGAGGGACGACTCACTATTCTTCAACTTGGGCAGGTCCTCTGCCTTGTTGATTTCCAACATGACGATACCCAAAACATCCTTTTCCGCGCCAAAGTTGTAGGTGCTGCCCTTTTCACCTCTGTTGCGTCTGAATTTGGGACGCTTGCCTTTGCTTGGTGTGGTTGCTCCACTCCGAGATGCCGGCCGAGAGGTGGGCGCGCTCGATGGTTGGGCCGCAGATTCGTCATAAGATTGGGAGGGCGTCAAGCCTGGTCGACGAGTTCCAGAGAACAGACGAGGCAAGAAGCCGGGTTTTGTGGGCTGCTCGGGGGCAGGTGCGACCACGATAGGAGGAACTCCTGCTGCCGTATTTACAGTCTCCGGAGAGGTTGGAGCATTTGCATTGGCTGCAGCGTTGACATTAGCAGCGACCTCTGCTCCTGTCGGGGCGTCGTGCTCTGGTTCCTCTTCAGTCTCTTCGTCACTTCCTATTCCATCGTCTTCGAGTTCGTGTCCAGTATCACTGCGCACAGTGCCAATGCCTTCCGTCTGGTACAAAGATGAGAATATGCTGGCAAAGCGCGTCCAGAGAGGAGGCTGTGGATAATTATACGTACAGGAGGCGCCGACGTCAAAGTGACTGCTGCATCCTGGGATCGACGAACCATATCTTGGTACGGCTTGTCCAGCTCGGGCTTTTCAGTGTTGACGGGGACCAACCCGAGCTTGACTTGAATCGATCCCTGGGCAGGACGCGAATTCTTGGTAGATTGCAATTGGCGAGTGACCGGCTAAATTGTCAAGTCAGTAGCCTGTAGCCTGAAATAAATGCACAATATACCATATTTTCGGTATTATCAAACGCCAGGGCGGTGCCCGGGAACCATTCTTCAATCGGAATTGCCACTTCACCCAGATATTCCTTCTTCATGACAATATTTTTGTCCCAGACGACGAGCTCGAGAGCACCGAGATCTTCAGCGGACGAGCTGAATATCGGAAACTCAAAGGTGGCGTTCGCAGGCGGGAATACGGGATCGAGCGTAGCATTGATGGCGGGAGTTTGAAACTGTTTCCCAAGCAGGGTTACTGTCACATATCTGGTGTGGAGTGGGGGTCAGCGTGCCCATCACTGGGCGGGTCGATTAAACATGTTTTGGGCGTACGGATCACTCTTGCCGCTGCGGTCTACACCGAACAAGCCACTACAAGCAACAATCTGGACTTTGAGGATGAACACGGGCTGTTCTCCTGACGCAGCACTCGTCGAGGTGACGACAGTCCTGCCCGTGAGTCGGCCAGGGATGACCTTTGAGGCTCCAGTCTTGAGAGCCTTTCCGATACGAATTCCTTTCTTCGGGAGTGGGTTGACGGGTGCCATGGTTGTAGTCGAGCAATTCGGATTCCAAAGATGCTCAGCCTGCCACCCCACTTATAGCTTTGGCGTCATCACAGCCCCACGGCTGAGCGTCTAAGAACTCAAGCCTAAAATAAGAAGTCCTCTACGCAATTGAATCGAACAGTTTACAGAGTAAAAATACGAGCAGCACTCGAGTTTATAGCGCAAAAAAACATCAGCAAAAGGCTACATTTCACGATCTACCATAGCAATCGAACGGGGCCAGAAGAAAGAAGGAATAGCGAAAAGACTTTTGGTGACTCGCGGTAGTCGTCATCATTGTCTGGGGTCCGTTATAGAGGCTACATCATGCACCTTTAGCGTTATTCGCGGCGACCTCAAGTCACACGAGCATCTCGGGAGGCCCTGAGTTGCAAACCTGAAGAGGAAACCAAAGTGGCGCAGGTTTGCCGGGGACAGCAAAAGTCCACATTGCAACAGATGCGCTGACAAGAAAATAACAACCCAAAAGAGTGCAAAAACTGGTCAGCAACCTTGTTGTTCGTCGCCCTACTGCGCCAGCGTACCAATAGGCTTGGCTGCTACAGGAGAGTGGTGACGAAGGGGCCACGAACAAGTTGGACAGCAACCATCACATCCCATCAATCAAGCAAGTGAAATGAAACCTGGTTTTATGACTTACAGCCTCGTCGATAGTCAAAACGCCTCGAGCGCGAGAGTGCACCAGAAGGGGGATGAGCAAGGCAAGTTTGCCAGATCTACTGATCCCTTGTCATCCTAAATAGGAGGGTGGATAATAACCTCGCCGATGATATGGAGAATTCCCGAAGAGGCACGAGCAACAGCGGCTACAGAACGACCAGCTGACCACCGGAACCTTGTACGCCCGTGATCTAGTGAACGAGTGGGCAAGGGTATATAAGCTTACCTTTACCTCATCTCACGGAGTGATTACGATGAGGGTGCTGGGATTACTGGTCACGAATGAGTGCGATCGCGGCGACTTGGGGGTGGGGGCAACCTGAAAGAGAGGAAGAAGAGGGAAGCAAACGAGCATCGAAGACGATAAAAAAGTTCGGAGGTTAAATAGGAAAGTGCAATCACTGAAACCGACCAAATAGAGCTAAACAGGTCCTGCGTTACCATTGGCTACAAATGTCTCACTTTGCGTGACACACGCCGTCAGAAATTTTTGATCCCAATGGAGCCCTGACTGAATGCGGCCAGGTTCAGAAGATGACGTTCCAGATCAAATTCCCTTATTGATCTCTCGTTTTGGATACTGTTCAGAACGGCTAACCATTCAAGGAGGAGATTGCATGTGCCGATGAACAGAGGTGCTGATGGACGTCTATCAGAATCGATGGGTGGATACTGGCTGTCTTACTTAACCTCAG